AAAAAAAAAAAAACAGATTTAAGAAACTCCTGAAAATCGATCCCAAATCTGACCTGCCCACTAGTAAATACTAGCGCAGCCCAAACTGTATAACAGTATAAAGTTTAAAATCAAAATGTAAACTTTTTTCCCCACTAAATGCCAACCATACATGAGACTGAAGGTTCATTTGATTGGAAACTGGTAGAAAATTGGGAAAAGTGCAAGCCATGCTGCAGGTGACCATACTGAAGAAATGATCATGCTGGGCATTAGAGATCACACAGGGGATTCAGAGCTGCGCTTAGAGCGTGGAAACTAGACGATACACGACAAGTCTGCATTACCACAGACAGTGCTGCTAATGTTATTAAAGTCATAGAATTAAACTAAAAGGGAAGCAATTTGTTATGGCATCATCTAGCTAAAAGGCGTAAGTGTGTGTACGTGCGTGTGTGTACGTGCGTGAGTGTGGGTGCTTGTGTGTGTGTGCTTGTGTGTGCATGCTTGTTTGTGCACAGCACCCCTGGTCTCACATCACCTTAGATTTCATCAGTGACCTGCCTAAAACTCAGGGCAATACTTGTAGTCATTGACAGGTTTTTGAAGATGTGGCTGCTTCTCCCACTGCCTAAGCTCTCCTTGGCTCCAGAGTTGTATTCCAACATGCCTGGATGACAGAAGATATCATCAGTGATTGGGATCCACAGTTTACAGCCCGGTTCCGATGGCTATTTTGCTGTCGGATGGGAGTTTCACTGGGCTTCACCCCCAGACCAATGGATAATGCCTAAAACAGGATATTTCACAGTTCCTTCCATTCCTATTGTGCCCAGAATCAGACTGGCCAAATGCAGAAGACTGTTGCCAATTGTCTTCACCATCCTGAACTCCTCCATCCCAGATAGTAAGTTTGGTTGTCCACCTGGGACATTCTCCTTCTCATTTTGGATACCTGGCATTCATGTGGGAGTTACTTTGACATGCACCACCTATCTAAAGATTGTTGCAGACCATGTACACCCCTTCATGGCAACGGTATTCCCTGATGGTAGTGGCCTCATTCAGCAGGATAAAGCCCCCTGCCCCACTGAATAAATTGTTTGAGGAACATGAAAAAGAGTTCAAGGTGTTGACTTGGTCTCCAAAGTCCCCTGATTTCAATTTGATTGAGCTTCTGTGAGATGTGCTGGACAAAGAAGTACAATCCATGAAGGCCTCACCTCACAAATCACAGGACCTATAGGTGCCAGATACCACAGGCAGGGGGCGGTGTAAAGGGGGGGTAAGCGATGACGATTCTCGGGGCCCATGACTGAGAGGGGGCCCAGAGAAAAAAGTCTCAGCTGTGTTGGGGGGGGGGGGGGGGGGGGAGTTAGGATGACTCCTTAAAAAAAGGAAAGTAACTGGATTGATTGGTCTGGATTGGGGGGCCCAATGTGATAGCTTCCATGGGCCCATAATCTCTATCAATG